GAATTATCGAACCCAGGAGAGAGGTGGTGGTGCTTTGGGAGGAACGGTTGGAGAAAGGGCTGGAGGGAGGCAGCATGTCTGGCCTGGCAGGAATAGGCCTTGGGTTATTGATGATGACTCTGTCTTCCTCTTGTGGGATTCTAGGAGTTCAGAACATGTGACCTCCTTGTCGTTTTTGCAGCCACCAGTATTATAAATATCAGGAGGGTCAAGAGTGGGCAGGTTTCAGCACAGCTTTCAGACTAAGACAGACTAGGAAAAGGGATATGGCCAGGTCCACTTCTGAAAAATAAATTTGTCACTGAAAACTTTACAAATAGCAGTGAAACATTGTCAGATATAGTGCCGGAAGATAAGCCTCTCAGGTTAGAAGGAAGTCAAAATGCAAATGGGGAAGAGCTGCCTCCTCACAGTAGAGTCAACCTTAATAATCTGGATAAAGTATAGCTTCCGAAACCTTCACCTGCTGATGTGGCATGGCTCAAAATGAGAAGAAACAGCTACAAAGATCCATTAATAATGAGAACATGGAATGTAGGAAGTATGAATCTGAATTGGAAGGTATCAAAAATGAAATGGAACACATAAAGATTGATATCGTAGGCATCAGTGAGTTGAAATGGACTGATGTTGGCCATTATAATCAGACAATCATATGGTTTATTATGCTAGGAATGACAAATTGAAGAGGAATGGCACCATATTCATCTTCAAAAAGAACATTTCAAAATTGATTCTGAAATACAGTGCTGTCAGTGATAGGATAATGTGCATATGCCTACAAGGAATACCAGTTAATATTACTATTATTCAAATTTACACACCAACCACTAAAGCCAAAGATGAAGAAATTGGAGATTTTTATCAAATTCTATAGAAATTGACTAAACATGCAATCAAAATGCATTGATAATTACTGCTTATTGGAATATGAATGTTGGGAACAAAGAAGAAGCATTGAAATTTGGAAAATATGGCCTTGATGATAAAAATGATGCATGATAGAATTTTGCCTTGGTGATTTTATTGCATGACAGAATTTTGTAAGACAAATGACATTTTCATCACAAATACTTTTTTCAACAACATAAATGATAACTATACACATGAACTGCACCAGATGGAATGCACAGGAAGTAAAGCAACTACATCTGTGGAAAGAGATGATGGAGAAGCTCAATCATCAATCAGAACAATGCCTGGGGCTGACTGTGGAACATACCATCAAATGCTCATATACAAGTTGAAGTTGAAGAAAATTAAAACAAGTCCACAAGTGTCAAAATACAACCTTGAGTACATTCCATCTCAATTTAGAAACTATCTGAAGAATAGAAACAAAACAAGATGTCAGATGGCATCAAGGGCATCATACATGAAGAAGCAAAAGATCATTAAAAGGATAGGAAAGAAAGAAAAACCCAAAATGGATGTCAGAAGAGACTCTGAAACTTGATCTTGGACAGAAATACCTGAAGAGAATGGAAGAAATGAAGAAGTAAAAGAGCTGAACAAAATACTTCAAAGGGAACATTGAGAGAACAGAGCGAAGTATTATAATGAAATGTGCTAAGATCAGGAGTTAGAAAATGAAAAGGGAGCAACACACTAGGCATCTCTCAAGCTGAAAGAACTGAAGAAAATATTCAAGCCTCAAGTTGCAATATTGAAGGATTCCATGGGCAAAATATTGAAAGATGTAGGAAGCATCAAATGAATGTGGAAAGAATGCACAGAGTCA